TCCTTTTGTGACTGACTTATTTCGCTCAGCATAATGTCCTCCAAGTTCATCCACGTTATGCGGTGTTTTGCAGATTCTACATTATTCTTTAGCGTTCCCTTTGCTCTTTTTGACCTCAGATTCACTGCATCAGCACCGAGTTCACGCCTCGAAAGAAAGGTGGAGAGAAAGGTGTTCCCTTCCGTCTCCAGATCGACACCTTCAAGCCCAGTGACAAGGAGCTCCTGCCTGAGCATCTGCATTCTGCAGGCTGCCTCATCAAGGTGTTTAAGGTACAAGCAGCACCAAGAGCTCTTTGCCCTCCTCCCGGGGCTGTCTCCCTGCTTCACTGGCTGCCTAGGCTCTGGGCCTGTGGACTCTCAGCCAGTGTGTCCCCTCTCTGGGACAGTTCCCTTCTCTGTACACAGAGGAATGGGGCCTGACTTTTTTCTTAGAGTCCACCCAGTGGGGCCTCCTAAAAGGAGGTGAGTAGGTAGAGAGGAAGCCGCTGAAGCTTCCTCATCACCCTCCATAGCCCAAAGGAGCTGATCGGAAGCTAAAATCCGACCGGGAGAAGGTTGAGAAACAGCCTCTCCAGGAGAGATACAAGTACCAGGTTGCCTGTGAGAACACGGTCTTCACGGAGGTGTGTGTTGGTTGGGGCAGTGCTGGGCGGAAAGATCCTAATTGCACAGATGGGAAAAGTGAGGCTTCAGGGCTGTGCCTTCCCCCTCTGGGATAAACGCAAGGCCTGTGATTCTACCCGTTCCCTGCAGGGGGCAAACTTTGCACTGTTGTTCCTAGAGCCTGCCCCTCCTGCGTGTTGGCCATCATGTCTCCTCACTTCTGTGCTCACTGCTTTGTAAACACTTCCCTTCTGGCTGCTTGTCCTGGTTAGCTCCTACAGGAAGCCTTCTCCAGCTGCCCCAGACCTGCAGGCTACTTTACTGTCTTCATTTGTGCTGAAGCTTAGTTCACTTGTTAGGACCTCCCTTCAGGGCAGGCTACTTACTAGCTTTTCATACATAGTTGGATGGGGGTGCGTGTGTGAATGAACAGCCACAACTGCCCTGGGAATGTCCAGGCTGACCGTGCATCTGTTTGTCCACAGTGTTCACCATGGCCAGAGCCCACTGCAGGGTCCCACCCATCTCTCAGCCCTCTGGTTCTGACCTCCTCTCACTCCTGTAAGCTCCTGTCCCCTGAGAGGTGAGGTGGGCTGAGAATTCTCCTGTCAGTCCTTTGTCTTCAGCATGAACGTAAAGAGCCCCTCCGCCCAGGCATGGGGGAAGAGGCTGGGGTGAGAGTGCAGCAGAAGGGAAGGAAGAGACTGGCAAAATGAGAGAGGACTAGCTCTGCCTCCTGGGCAGGCCTCCAGATGGGGTTGGGATGAAGCCGGCTGCACTGCTGTGCTGAGCCCCTGAGTCTCTGCTCCTTGCAGGCTGTGCTCCTCACCACCATTCACTTTGGACACCTTGGGGGGCAGCCCAGCTGAGGTGAGTCTTTGCCTTCCAACCCTCAACTACGCCTCAAAGCCTTCTCAGCGGCTTCATCTCAGACTCCAGAACAGGGCTTCCCTGCCCCCTAGTGGAAAGATGTGATATGACCACAGATTTAAGTTTCGTTTTCTAATCGAACTGGGGGCTTTGCAGAAGGCCGGATGGGCCTTCCCTCTCAGACATGGGCAAGGGCAGAGGGGCTGTTTTTCCCCTCCCGCTTGTTCTCACTCTATGGACTGACTGCGGGAGCAATGATAGTGTTAACTGGATGGCCCTCTTTAAGCCGCAGGATCTGAATCCTGGAGCCTCCATCCCAGAGACACAGCAGTGGTTGCATCGGCACCGGTTCTCCAGCTACTGTCGGATGCTGGCCAACTTCACTGGTGAGGTTGGGGTTTGCCAGGTGGGCCAAACCTATAGGGTACCAAGGATGGTACACTGAAGCAGGAAGCCTGTCTGTGTTGCCTTGCTGCGTGCCCTTCAACTTTTTTTTTTTTTTTTTTAAATATCTATAGCAAAATTTTACTTACATGTGATATTAATGACATTTTTGAGGACCAAGTTGTCAGGGAACTCTGGTGGCGTAGTGCCTAAGGCATTTGACTGCTAACCAGAAGGTTGGCGGTTCAGACCCATCAGCCACTCCTTGGAAGGAAGGTTGGACAATCTAGTTCTGTAGAGGTACCACCTCAGAAACCCAAGGAGGTGTCTCTATGAGTTGGAGACTACTCCATAGGACATAACAAGTTGCCAGGCGCTATGCCAGGCTTTCTCCTCATGTTGTTGTTGTTGCTTGCCGTCGAGTCCACCCCGACTCATAGCGACCCCTGCTTGGGTTTCCGAGGCAGTATCACCACGGAAGTAGGATTGCCCAACCGTCCTTCCGAGGAGTGGCTGGTGGGTTTGAACCGCCAGCCTTCTGGTGAGCAGTCAAGTGCCTTAGGCACTATGCTACCAGAGCTCCTATTCCTCGTGTAGTATCCCATATAATTTATACACTGCTCCTTGAAAATAGTGCCTACAGAGGTTAAATAACTTGCCCAAGGACACGGCTAACAAAGGGCAGAGCTGGGATTTGAATCCAAATCTGACGCCTATGTCCAGACATACTACTTTTTGTAGACTTAGGTTGGCCTGTGTTCCTGCCTCCCACCCTCGATCTCAGGCCTATTCCCTCAATCTGGCCCTGTCTGACTCTGCAGGCACTGATCTGCTGAAGCTCACTCGCCAGGACCTTATCCAGATCTGTGGAGCTGCTGATGGAATCCGACTTTTCAACACTCTTAGAGCCAGGTGCTGGGCACTGCTGAGCAGGTTCTCTTCCCCCTGTAGTGGCCCTTAACAAACTGAGCTAGCAGGGATGTTTCATAGAATGGTTAGGGTGGAAGACACCTAAAGACTACTTAGTCACGCTTCCCCTTTTTCCAGAGGAAGAATCTCAGGCTAAGAATAGCGACCTGCCTGAGCTCACCAAGCAAGGCTGGCAAGGTTGGGCTGAAGCCAGGCTCCTGTGGCCATCCCATCCACCTTGCTTAGTTTCTGGGGTGGGTGGGTAGAGAATAGTTCTTTTTTTTCATCTTTTCTACCCCCAGGTCCAACATTCATCAAGTGCGTAAGACATGCTTTGTGACCTCCCTCCCTAGAGACCTGGAAGAAGAGAGGGTCTCTCCCAGGGATGGGGGCTAGTAGAATCAAGGTCAGGAATGAAGGGCTGACACATAGACTGTTTTCCTGGCCCAGGCCCCTCCGTCATCGGCTGACTTTATATGTGGCTCAAGAGGCCTCTAGGCAAGAGAATGAAGTTTCTAAGAACTCCAACTCAGGTGAGGTTCTGGCCTCTGTCCCCCAAAGGTGAGAATTTCAGGTGTGGCTGCATGAAACCTCGTCTGCGGAGAGGGTGATGTTCTACCATTTCTGGGACCCGGGATGCTCTCCTCTCCCTGCCTTCCTTGACCAGATTAGCCCTCTCCTTCTGGGATGTCTCCCTGAGGTTGTTCTACTCCCCCACCCCTATCTGATCTGGTCATTCCATTAGTATGTGGGTTTAGTACATCATCTATTCATAGCGACCTCTCCTTGGGTTTCCGAGGTGGTATCTTTACGGAAGTAGATTACCCAGTCTTCCTTCTGAATGGCTGGTGGGTTTGAACTGCCAGCCTTGTAGTTAGGTATGCCACCAGAGCTCCCTTGTACTTGGTTTTGCATTATTCATACATGGGTAGCCTATCTTCTCTTCATGCTAGAGGCACCCTGAGCTCAGAGACTAGTCTCTCTCCCCTCAATCTGAGGCTTCCCCAAAGGTGAGGAATGGCAGATGAAGACTAAGTGGATCCATATGCCTTCTTCCTTTTTAATCCTCTGCCCTCCACTCCTGTCACTTGTCCCCCTCCTTCCTCCAGAAATGATCTTCCTCCTGGCACTCCTATGGATCTCCTCCCCCCACTGACCCCTGCCTCTGTGCTTCCCATACGCTCAGGCTTTTATCAAGAGATCTCTCTAGATGAACTAAGTGCCATAGAACTGATGGGGAAACTGGCTGAGCTCCTGGCCCTTCCAGCCAATCAGATCCACCATCTCTTTCACCAGGGCCCTGGGGGCATCCTCATTCTCTTCAGTGACCAGGTAAAGTGACATTTTCTGCCCCAAGGCCCTATGGAGGCCTTGCTGACTTTCACCTCAGAACTACAACAGGTCTCTCCTTGGGCCGAGCATCCTTTTCCCATACTGTCTTATTTTGCTTGGTTTTGTTCTCTCTTCCTCCCTTATTAAGCCCATGACCCTTTCTTCCTTGCAGGTGGTCCAGAATCTTAAGGATGAATCATACTTTGTGGCTGTGGTGAAGAAAGGTAGAGTTTTAGAGGGAGTGGAATGTGTGTGGCTGGCCCTAGAAAGGTGAAAGGATCTCGCTTACTTTCTCCTAAATGAGATTAGAAGGTTCCTTGAAGGTGTGAAGGTGGAGGCTATGTCAACCAACTGGTAAACATCTGCTGAATACCAGCTCTGAGGCAGAGGGGCAAGATTCACAGAGCTAGAAGACATTTATAGCATAGGAAAAATGTGACTGAGTGAATGCATTCTCATGAGGAATATGTCCCAGTTTCTCTTGTCAGAAAGTTTTACTACTTTCCCACTCCACTCCCAACCACCATACAAGGTAGAAGGGCAGGTGCTTGCTCAGTATCACCTCCCGCAAACACCTCTGACCAGCCTGCTTGTGGTCTGGTTATGCAGATGTTTGCCTTAGCTCCCTCTTGCTGTGCCAGAGCTGGGCAGTCTGGTCCAGTGAACAGGACAGCTTCCTAAAGAGGTGGATTTGAAGTGGGCTTGGAAGAACACTTGCTGGGCAAATAGTAGTGGTAGCTGGGGGCCCTGCCTCATCCCAATGGTACCCTTTTTACTGCTTCCAGTGCAGAATCCAGACGGCTACTACTTGGTTCTGACCTAGGCCTAGGGGAGCCCTTCTGCAAAAGGACACTTATGCCTGGCCCTCTGGGGCTGTGTTCACCAGAAACTTTGCTAAGATCCATGGCTGACTGACCAGTAGCCTCTGGGCTGTTTTCTTTCAACTCAGCAGGAGTGGTTGTTGGAACCCTGGACACCACCTCTCCTGCTCAGACTCTATGAAGCTGGCCAGGCTTATGAGGCAAAACCCCCCCAAAACCTGGCAATATGGAGAAAGAGATTTTGGCATGAGCAGTGTTGGCTACTAAACACTGAGTGTAATTCATGTTTATTTAAAACTTTATTTACCCCTTCCTTTTTTAAATTAAAAGCTATTTTTTAAAGGGTGCAATGTATTTTCAATGTGTTGTATTTTCCTCAAGGGGAAATGCCCTCTTCTTAAACTACAGACATGGTGAAGATCTGGGACAAGATTTTTTTTTCCCCTCCATCCCCAATTAGTTTGGGTAAAAGCCATTTCTAAAGGCCTCCAAAGGGCCAGTCAACATTTGAATCACTGTGCCTATTCAGTTCTAGCGATTTGGGAAACCTGGCTACACTCATAGCAATAAGGCTAAGGGGCTGGCTTTAAAAATCTAGTTGAATTTATTAATATTTTACTTTTAGGTCTTAAGAAATCCATCCAAAGTCAAATATAATTTTCTATGTATATTTTCTAAAGTCTCATTTTTAGTTTTGTTTTTCAACTTTAGATCTATAATAGATCTGAAACTGATTTCTGTGTATGTTGTGAGGTAGAGATCTAGTTTTCTTTTTTCATATAGACAATCAACTTTATATTAAATAAGTGCTTTTAAAAAAAGATAAACGGTATCAGGCCGTATCTTAATTTTTCTTACCCCACCCCCCAATTTTATTATGAAAAATTTGAAACATACCAAAAATCAAACCCAATGCCATCAAGTCTATTCTGATGCATAGTGACCCTACAGGACAGAGTAGAACTGCCCCACAGAGTTTCCAAATCATTATAGAAGCAGATTCTCATCTTTCTCCCATGGAGCAGCTGGTGGGTTTGAACTGCAGGCTTTCTGGTTAGCAGCCAAATGCTTTAACCATTAGAGCTCCTTTTCAAACATACAGGAAAGATTAAATAACTACAATGAAAACTCATATACATGGAATGGAAGATGGGCCAAGGTGACCTCTTAAAAATACTTACCTCCCAGAACAGTCCATATGGACAACTGAGGAAATAACATAGCTTGCATCCCCTGCAGGGATGGTGTTGGTCTCAGATGACAAATCCAGACTAGACCTCTACCTTATGCAGAATAATGAGTGCATGTCAACTGAGGCCTAGGATTCCATGGCTCGCCAAGAGTATTTTGAGGCAGGACAGATACCTTGAGATTTAAATTTAGGTTGCTGATTTAGCTCTATTGCTCTTCTCCACCAATAGGTTAGGGACCTCATTGCATTTACCTTTGTGTATCTCTCAGCCCTAGGAGCCTCTAGCACAGACTAGACACTGAAATATTTGTTGAAATGAAGGGACTAAAAGCAGCCAACAATGAGTTTTAGTATGTGCCAATATTATGTAATTTAATCTTCACAACCCTATAAAGTACTGTTATCCCCATTTTACCAAAGAAGACTGAAACAGAGGAGTTAATTGGGTGAGGTCACACTGGAGGTAAATGGCATAGCAAGATTTGAACCCAGTCAATCTGACCTTTGAGCTTGGTGTTTAACCATTACACTACCTCATCCTCCCTCTTTCCTAGTCAAAGCAGGGGCAATGTTCTTCTGTACAGAGATAAGGGACTCAGGATTAAATATTAGCATCAAATTAAGGCAAAGGTTTCCAGAAACTCCAGTTTATAACATAATTATGTCTTCTCTTTTTCTTGGGGACAAATAGAGATCAGTATTATATAAAGATTTGGATGTGATGAAAGGAACCCTAGTAGCATAGAGCCTAAGGCACTTGACTACTAACTAGAAGGCTGATGGTTCAAACCCACCAGCTGCTTTGTGGAAGGAAGATGGGGCAATCTACTTTCATAAAGATTCACCACCTCAGAAACCCAATGGGGGTCGTTATGAGTTGGAATCGACTCGATGGCAATGAGTAGAGGATGTGATGAAGCCCAAAAGAAGCCCCTTCATTCATCCTCAGAAGCCTTTGTAGTTCTGGGGTTCAAGGTAGTTAAGGCTCACGGCTCCAAGTGAGGCTATTTCTGTAGTAAAATGAAAAGTCTTCACAGCTTATTTCCTTTAATTACATCATAAAACAAAATTAGAACATACAGGAAACAATAGTTACATAACAATTTACTTTATATATTTATATATAAAAACATTTTTTTTTTCCTTTTGTAGTCCAAAGATTTTAAAGCAAAAGGAATCCTCTACTGCCACCTTGGATTTTATTTATTTTAAATAACCCACCCTCCCCCTACCCTCAAGCATCAAAGAATTCGGTGGAAACAGTCACTTGGACAGCTGATGGAACCTGGTATTGTCTCACCATGTAGGGAATTGTGTCAGCCCCAGGGACTGGCTAAGCTCTGGAGTAGGCCTGGTGGAGAAACAAGCAAGCAGCAATTCCCACACCCAGAAGCACTCCAGGGGGAGCCCAATGGCTGGGGAAGGTTTAGGCCAAAGGCAGGGATATTTAGGACCAGATTCCACTGGCTAACCACCTTGTGCATTTTACTCCATTGGGGGAGTGAGCTCAGGGAGCAGGAGTTCAGGGATGAAACAGAGCCTGGAGACAAAAATTTCTCTAACAGCACCATTTTCCCTTCCATCTCTGTCCCCAAGCAGAGTCTGACAGGCAGGGGTAGTCCTCACAGTTCTCTGAGTATTACACAGGCCAATTTTGTCAGATCTGTGTTCTCAGGGTCATTGGAACTGGAAGGTGGGCAAAGGTGGTGGAGCACGTGGGAAATGCATGTGGCAGACTAATTGGAAATAATTTCTGGGAGGAAATAGGAGGCAATGAGAGTGGAAGGCATCTGAAGGCCAAGTCATGAAATAGGAATGGAGACAGGCAAAAATAAGGCGGCCTCTCTTCTACAGTAACCCTCTGGTATGGGTAGTCACAGATCCTCAGGGGCCGGCTCTGAGAGCCACACAGCAGGGTGAGAAAGAAGGCTGGTATTTTCTGATTAGCCATGTCCCACAGATCTTGTAAATGTGCCAACAGGCTCTAGGAGTTAGAGGTTAGTATGCAATTTGGGAGTGGGATGAGGAGGTAAGAAAAGAGATTTCAGGCTCACCTTTTCCTGTACTTATTAAAAATTAACAGTCATCAGAGAAGCAAAAATAAATTATTCTTAAGGGCAGGAAAAAAAAAATGGATGTAAATCCAGGAAAGTAGCAGCAAAGGTTTCGCTTATTACAGCTCTGTTATATAGCAAGGATAGAAAATCATTCAAGTCTTTAGGGGGAACAAGGTAAAGTAAAACCATGCCAATTAGATACTCTTTCAAGTTAGGGTTTTTGAAGATGTTAGGTTCCCATTCTCTAGTGCCACTAAATAAACAAACAAACAGAAAAACAAAAATAGAATAATGACTTTAGGGGCTGAGAAGATTTAGGCTAAAGTTAGAAACATGTATATATGTGAGCAGTAGCATGGTACAGATTTAAATTAAAGATATAAATAGTAAGAGACAATGACAAGAGAAACTCAGTAGGACAAAATTTCCTCCTATGAGCAAAAAAGACTTTCCTTCAAAGATTTCCCTAGGCTCTTGGGGCATGGGCAGAAAAGAGATGTGTCTGGACTCTCTCTCCTCCAATCTCTTCTTGGGGTGGAATTCTCATTTTCACTGCTCATCTGCTCTTGCCCTCCTACCAAAACCACCCCGCGAGGCGGCTGGGAAGCACTAGTGGTCCTTTCTGTGGTGCCAGTCCCCACATCTGTTGACCTGGCTTAGGTGTGGAAAGCAGCAGTCCTCTCTGGAACCACGTTAAGTCCTTAATGGTAAGAAGGGCATGGCGTTCATCAGATGAACAGGAAAGCAACTTTACCCACATGAGGGGCAGATGTATCTATATATTCAGGATTAATGCTTGTGCCAGAGCAAAGTATCCCACTCCATAATTGGTTATCTCCTTTACTTTGAACCTCATCTACTCATCTACAATTTTTCCACCCCAATTTTTCAAAACAAGACCTTAAAAGCACAGTAGACTACCCCAGCCAAGGAAGCACTGAAACTCACCTGTGAACCAAACTCTGTACCAAGGGTTGATTCAAAACCACATGAGGCAGAGATGGACGTGTATATATGGAATTTCGTTACCAATATCCCATATGTGAGTCTGTCCAACACATTTTTTTCTCCTGGGAATTAAGTGTAACTCTTTTGGGCTCCAAAAATTCACTCTGACTCAGCTAAGAGGTTATTTACTGACTTTCCTAAGGATCAAAGGCTTCAGAGCAGAACTGATGTTCCTAAGAATAAAAATAGATAAAATAGGGACCACTTTGAGAGGGAAGCTGCCGAAGCCCTTCATGCTGAAAACTCACTTGCTTCATATGGAGTCTCTGGGCAGGCAGAAATTCTGTCTTAAGTAAGAGGATAAGGTTAGAGAAGCTACTTCTTAAGCAGCCCATGTTCTTTGCTGGAGAATAAAGGCATTAAGTTTGGGCTTTTGGATATAGCAATCATAGCCAACTTTTATTCCTAAATTACATGGGTTAATTATATCCTATACACATATTCCTGTATAGGTGTCTGCACTTTCCAATCTTACAATTAAATATGATAGAAATAAGGGGCATAAAGGTAAGGAGTGGCTCGAACTCCAAACTTACCCTCATCCTCCTAATGCTTTGGAGTTGTTTGGTCTAAGATTATTATAAAAGGTAGGAAGGTGGAGGGCTGCCACAAAACCACCAACCAAACATCCTATAACCTATACCCTCTTCTCAAATAAACACTGCCTGTATTTGAGATGATTAAAGATCCTAGAACTAGTGGGCAGATAGAGGTAATCTTTTTTATAAACTGTTGTAGAATCCCAGAGCACATTACTGAGTCTGTCAGCCAGGGTACAAAACAGGGATACCAACTCTTAAATCATGCAAACTTAAGGAGGGGAAAAGCAGATTAGACCAATTTCCTTTAAATGCCTCCTCTTACTGGTGGCAGGAGCTCTGGTAGCATAGTGCCTAAGGCACTTGACTGCTAACCAGGAGGCTGGCGGTTCAAATCCACCAGCCACTCCTCGGAAGGAAGGTTGGGCAATCCTACTTCCTTAGTGATAACTGCCTCGGGTCGCTAGGAGTCCGGCCTACTGGATGGCAAATAACAACAACTTACTGGTGGCAATTAGCATGAACAGTCTAGGATTTTTAGCATAATAAACACTAAATGGCCAAGGGTCAACCACTGTTGTGAGTGTTCCTCTTCTCCAAATGACAAAGTCACCTAAGGACATGCTGCCCACCCACACAGGCAGGAAATTATTCTCTTCTTTCCAGTTAACACTTTCATACCTAACAACTTCAAATCAAGGCAGGTTCCACTGCATACTGTGGTTAGCTCCCTCACCTCCCATTGCAGTGGGCTATCAAACAAATAATGCATTTTACAAGGCTATTAGAAGAACTGAAAGAACTACACTGCTGTAGATTATACCTACAGTGAGCTGTTCAAACAGTTTGGAAAGCCCAAAATAAAGCATCATAAAAATATTTACTAGGTTTCCGTCTAAGATGCATGATACAAGAAATATGTAAAATTTCTGACTTGTATCTCTGCTACATCAAGTAAATGGATGTGAAAATCAGACTGAAAATTTATAAAAACCATTTAAGGAATCCTTTTATATCTGCTAAAGACAGGAGAAGAAAACTTTTTTTTTTTTTCATATAGATAAAAACAATGTGCTTTCATATTCCAAATATTGGAAAAAAGGCTGAAGCCAGATCCTCTTATTCCTCATACCCAAGAATTTGATTTCAAACTCAATAAGCAAGCATCCACCCAGTGAAAAAATGTCCTGAATCCCTAGACAGTGACTATATTCAAGGATGCCCACAACAGTTTGCCTGGATCAGCACAAGGACCCAAAAAAGAAGTTACACTGAGAGATACGGGAATCAATCAGTATCACTGGTGAGATGAAGGCTCTCAATAGAGGAGAGTAAACATGGGAATGAAAATCACCTTGATGGGGCCAAAGGAAGAAGATGTAACAAAGACCAAGAGAGCAGACAATGCTGGTGGAACATGTAATGGATATGGATGAGAATAAGGGAGAAAGGATGCTTAGGAAAGAGGATCCAGATGTTGAAAAACTTTCTCCATAGACATGGCAATAATTTTTCCTGGCCATCTG